GAAGAAAGAGCAAGAAGTGTTAGAAAACGTACTCCAAAATTGAATGAAAATGTTGAATGGTCCCAGGACATGAGTACTTTACTTGAACAATAAAAATGATATTTTTTTAACTTGCCCCTTAAAAAATATCTGATTGATATCTGCCCATCTCAAGTGCTGAAATAAACAAACAATAAACACTTTTAAAACTTACATTTGCTTTTCAAGTCATCTCAAAGTTCAACAGAGTCCAGTCAGAGTAACCATTCTGCAGAATACATGTCCTGTGTACAGTGGGTCTCAGGTACACATATACATATAACATATAGTGAATATTTCTCATATGTAATATTTAGAATGAGACTATAGAATTTGAAAAATTTTCCAGTAAATTGGCTTATTTCTTTTTATCCTGTTTGTAATGGCTTAGTCACCACACACACCAGTTCTACTGGCTCACTTTACCTTGAGCAGATCAACATTAAAACTGATACAAGGGGTTATTTGAAAAATAAACAGGGTTTTTTGCATGTAATAGCTTCTCAACAGAAGCTTTAGAAATGGATTTCTTAGGTTTTCAGAAATTAGGGCATGAGGTCAGAATGGCCAATAAAAGGATAATTTGGTGATGGCATTAGATTAGAATAATAATCTTATTTTAAGATATGAAAAGATTGAAACAATCATGCCAGCATAATGAATAATTATACCATAATTCATAAATGCATAATTTATCAAAACGATATAGCAGTCATGGTTAGATGCAACCTAATAATCCTGTATAAGATGTAACTACATACTGTACAACCATTCCTTTTTATATGTATTTTTTACATTCAGTCCTCATCCAAATTAAATAGAGTAGTTCTAGGTATGAATGGCATTACAAAATAAACACAATCAACTCACAACAGGGCTTTATTACTGCTACTGCACCATCATGGCATGCAAGTAACTATGTAATCAATTGTAAACATTAAAATGTCATCACCTTCCCAAAGAAAAAGAAAAAAAAATACAGATATAGTAGTAAAACATCAATTATCTTTAAATATCTTTCATATTTACCAAAACTCTATGATATACTAGAGGCATTTATACCTCTCCGGCTCTCCCCTACATTAGCACCTTGGCAAACTTGGAGTTGATAACCTGCACTTCCAAGTAAGACCTACCAAAACTCTTGAGTTTGTACCAACTGCCATTGACATTTAATGCATAAATGAGAATAGGACTCATCTGCTACCTCTCCCTTATTAGTCTCTCTTGATTTTGCTACGTTTCAGCATTATGGCTAAATGAAAAGACAGCGAAGAGGGCTGTAAGAGGCTGTTTGCTGGAGTGCTTACTGTGGTAACAAGCCCCTCAGAGCTTGTTAGATGAACAGACAGTCAAAGGATGCTGTCCTGTTAGGGTTTTTTTTTTTTGTTTTTTTTTTTGCTGCTGAATGCTGATTTGGTCAGGTCTCATACTAAATGAATTATCTGAAAACCACTCTGGGAACCAAGCTGGTTTTGTGCTGGTTTGTTTTTTGGGTTTGTCTTGGGAGGAGTTTTTTGGTATTCAAGAAAATTCTTTCAATAGGATCAAATTGTAGAGCATGTGAAACTCTACAGTTAGAAGAGAAGTCCACAATTTATTAGAGAAGGGTCAATGTGCTGGTTGGGGTGCAGTTCTGCTAGGAGGTGAAAGGAAACAATTTATAGTCATTTTAGGATGTTACAATAGGAAACAGGAGTAGGTAGACTACTGTACAACAACTGCGAGTGAAACTCTCCCTCAGTTTGCAATCTTGGAGATAGCTTTTGGAAAAACAAGGAACTTGATTGCAAAACAGGCTTTTCGATTTTCAGTCAGTTCTGGTAATGAGTTAGTCGGTTGGCAAGCAAAACCAACGCTTAGACCATATATCTCATTCAGACGTCTAATAAATCTCATGAAGTGGAATAGTACTGTCCACACATCATTCGACTGTAGCCCAGACTCGACTTCAGGGCCTTTAGGAAGGTAAAAAACTATGATATGTTCAACTCAAGTTTTTTCATATGGTATGATCACTGAAATATATGCACATTAATTTTTGCAATAACTATTCATTCAAAATCTTCCTTCACATTTGGGAAATGATAAAATAACACCTAAATTCACAACAACCTTTTCAGTTCTTTCTGAAAGAATGTCTTAATGCTGATCAAAAGGAGAAAAAACTGTACAATTCTTAACATGATGTTAAGCTATAAAAATGTCCTTCAACGTCCCAGGGTTAAGCTTAATTTTCAATTATACAATTTCTTTCTTCATTACAAAATAACATAGTCTCTCCTAGCTGTAGTCAAGACTTTCCCCCCTCTGATTTGCTCAGGATCAAGCGAGCTGTTTAGTTTATTTTATATTTTGATGATATCAGAATCTGTTGCTTCATCTAAAGCTGATCAGTATACTCATATTCGTCATAAGGTTGTTCTGCTTTGGGGCATAGTAGGTTGCAAGTGTGAATATAACAGAGCACATATTTACCTATCACCATTATCCATAGATTTGCCTCCATAAAAACTGAGGCTGTAGTATAGCTTTCAATGGAAGCCATTTAAAAAGAAAACATTACAGAATATACAAGTGCAGTTTCTAGATCTCAGACACAAGTTCCTTGACGTGTTGAGAGGTGATGTTTTCGATTTCTGACTCCTGAACTCTTATCTTTACAGTCTGCAGGCTTCTGTTGTGAAATGTCTATCAGGGCACTTGCAATTGCAAGACCTGGAAGATAAATAAAGAAAAAAAGAGAATTTAATGCTCAATTGTGAGAAGACTTCTACGGCGCTGTGGTGGATCCTTATATGTCTAGTCTTTTATATTTTTCCAACAAATAATTGGCTGTATTTTTAAGTGAGATAGGAGGCTACCAAACATTTGGTTGTTTTATAAAATATTTTTCTCATAATTGGAAACAAAAGAGGAGAGATGAGGTGGCCAGACAGAGAGGCCATCAGACTGGGAATCAGGAGAGTTTGGTTCCATCCCGACTCTTGCTGAAGTACCGTGAACGTGAGCAAACCACTTTGCCTCCCTGTGTCTGTTTCTTTTTCCAACCTTTGTCTGGATTGTTTATGGAGCCATGAAACTCTTCGCATCTCTCACTGTGCATTTCCATCATGCACTGCAAAATAAAGCTCATATCTGTGTTTGTATTAGACTGGGTACTGGTTACTGTACTATACACAGCAACAAGAGATGGAACTGGGACTAGCTACCTGGATCAAGGACAACAAGAAGTCCTTTTTTAAATACATAGGGGGTAAAAAGAAGGTACCGGGTAACATGGGGCCTCTACAAGACACGCTAGGAAATCTGGTCATCACACCAGATGACAAAGCTAACCTATTTAACAATTTCTTTGCCTCTATTTTCCTGAGCAGGGACCCGGTCACCCCCCCCCC